ATTAATTAGTCGGTTTCCTGGGTGCTCCCTTTCTGCTACAGAGCTTATTGCCCAGGAGACAAAACTGCCTCCTCATACCTTAATTTCTCATCCTTCTCAAGTCCACTGTGCTTGGGACAGTACTAAAGTGTTGGTCTTGCTTTTACCATCCTGAGTGTCTTTTTTAAAAAGTGTTTATTCCCAAATATTTGTTAAATACTTTGTTTTTCATGTTGCTGATTTTGAAACTTAAAATCTACACGTGGAACTGGCATGATGCATGTGTTAGGTAACTGGGATTTTTAAAATATATATTTTTATTGATTTCAGAGAGGAGAGACGTGGGAGAGACAGAAACATCAATGATGAGAGAGAATCATCAATTGGCTGCCTCCTACATCCCCACACTGGGGATCGAGTCCACCACCCAGGCATGTGCTCTGACCCAGAAACCATAGGTCCAGGCTCAGCCACTAAGCCACACCGGCCAGGCCAGGTAACTGAGATTTTTAAGAGTCTCATGCTCTACCGACTGAGCTAGCCGGGCACTTCCTGTAACTGAGATTTTTAAAGGGCAGGTTTGCTATGTATCTCAGTGACTCCACCTGCCTCTACTGGAATCGGTCCCTGCATTCCTAGAGAGCATCCACACTGCCTCAGCTCTTCATGAAGCACTCTGGGAATTCAGCAGCCATGGTCCTTACCCACAAGGAATTTAACTGTTCCTTGCAAAACAAAGGAAGCACGCAATAACACACAAAAATAGACATTAAGTTATACAATTCGCTTCACTTCACTGGAGATTGTGAATCACTCCTCTTTTGTTTATCTGCATTATTTTTAACATTCAGCTCAGATCACTAAGTATTAATTTCTGAAAGCCAGTTTCTTCCATGCGTGCTTAAAAAGCATTAAGACAATCATAATGAGGTGCATTTATCTTTCATGACGTGAAGGCAGAGAGACTTTTCAGTCCAGATTGTTCATTTAAGCTGGGTGCTTTTCTTTTCACATTGCTAAGCTTATATGCCTAACTTCTGTTCTGGCATCTGTTTCTAACTATCAATATGAATAGTCTAAATTGAAATTTCCATTTCCTCAGGAAGCATACTGCTTTTATTCGGATCAGGAATAACCTCCTTGTTGCCGAATCCAGTGGTTACATTTCAGTTAAACTATTTCTCTGTTAATTTTGATGCTATCAACCACTCTCTCATCTTCTTGATACCCTTTTCTTCTCAGTTGCTATAATGTTCATCTTTTTTTTTTTTTTTTCCTGGCTCTATAATTGCTCCTTCTCAATCCTTTTTCTTGACTCTTGCTAGTCAGGGCACATACTTGGGTTTCGGTTTGATTCCCAGTAGGGGTGTGTGTGTGTGTGTGAGGTGGGGAGAAGGGAGGGGGGCGCGTTGGGTGGCCAGTTGATATTTCTCTCTTCTCTCTCTCTCTCTCTCTCTTTCTCTCTCTCTCTGCCTCTCTGCTCCCCCCCCCCCCCCCCCGCCTTGCGTTTCTCTAAGCATGTTCTCGGGTGAGGATTAAAAAAAGAAAATATATATATATTGGTACTCTCCAGTCATTCACCTAGCCATATTGTGTGGCTAGGACCAGTTCTCCAAACCATCCTCTCCTCTGTAGCCCCATTCTTGTTGCCAACACTGCCAAAGGGTCCTTGTCCTAGACTCCATGCTTGGAAGTGTCCCATTCTGGTTTCCCTTTAGTTAAGCCATTCCTTATGAGCTGAAGAGTCTGTAGGGCCAAGGAAATGTGAAATGTGTGTGTGTCCCCTCACTCCTGCCCACCGCTATCTAGCTACACAAGACCCCAGAAATCCCTGCAACAGGCCCCATTCCAGGTCTCTTCCTCCAAGAGTAGACTGCATGCCTCCCCTCGTGAAGGGGATAGATGGTGCTTGGATGGAGTTGGTCATGTGTGTACCTGTGAAGCCCTGGGCACTGTAGATCAGAGCCAGAGGTTAGAGGAGGAGGAGGAGGAGGAGGAGGAGGACATGGCAGGGACCTCCACTGGTACTCTCGTCAGAGGCCCACAAGCATTAGGGTTAGGACTAATTATTGCTTTACTTTCCTTTATATTCCTGGTGCAGTGCTTCAACTACTTTTAGTGATTCTTAAGGGCCGGGGCTTTACCTTTTTAACTTTATGTTCCAGTGTACATAGGCTTAGCACAATACCTACCACAACACACAGTGAATACTCACTATGTTTGTTGAATAATTAACCATAATTCATCTTCTTCATTGTCCTTATAAAGTTTATATGGTTTTATTATGTCTTATGGTCAGCATTTTTCCAGAAAACATGCCTCTAATTTTGCATTACTATTTTATGGAAAAACTAGATTTTATATATAAAATTGAATTTTATTTTTAAAGATATTTTTACAAACAATGTTATAAAATAGAGTTAGTTAATGGTAGGTAGCATAAAATAGTGTCAGGCAAACCTAAAATTCTTGATAAGACAAGTTAGTGTTATATCATGATTATCAGGACAACAGTGCTTATAACCAGTTATGTGAGTAACTATCAAACCCTGAGGGGCTCTGGGATACTAGCGTGAGAAGAAGCAGGAAAACTTAAAGATGCTGGTAAGAATGGAATTGGGTTTCCCTGCCAGGTTTCCCATGAATTCTGAGGGTAACCCCAATATCCTGAAGGTCCCAGTTCTACTGAGCTCATTTGTGAGGGGTGTGTTTGTGTGTGATTACCTGTATGAGCCATCCTGCTCTGTCCAATTGTTTTAATACAAAACACACATAATTATTTAAATTTGAGTGATTTTAAAGTACCAACTCAGTATGTTTTAATTCGAGATGACTTCAGTGTGATAATACACACTTGTTCTAGGTTCACCCCCCAACTTCCGTGGCCTTGGAGACGGAATGCCCCAGAATCACACCTGCTTTGGTTTCTACTTGAGCACATGTGCCACATTGAAGTGAGGGATACTCCAATCTGAGAATTGAGTAAACTGGATTTAGATGATCCTTACATTATTTCAGCTCACATGATCTGACCCTTAGGTTTGCTATTTGGAAAATAGTCTATTCACGATTCCACAGAGGAGTATCAAAATGTTAAGCCATGGCAATAATCTTAGTTTTAACCTTAACTTTGAGGATTCATACTGTTTTGTCATTTTTTAGTTTTTAAAGGGTTTTTTCTTCCTTATTCTCCTTCTATTCTTAACATTTTTAACCCTAATAAAATACATTTCTTCCACCCCTCCCCTTTCTAGGTGAGATGAGTCTTTCAGGAACACCTTATTAAAAGTATTAAATATCAAAGCAGTTACCTGTATGAGCCATCCTGCGCTGTCTGATTGTTGTGCCATCACGAGTCATGACTAAGGGAGTCATGATTGATACCACTTAGTTATTGTTTCAAGAATACTTTTATGATGAAATTGCTGTGTGGCAGCTTGGAATCCACTGACTTTTGGAGGAGGCATTCAGTTTATAAATACTAAATGGTTTTTGTCATCTAGAAAATAGTTCCCCTTACACAAGAAGATTTTAAAATGTCTTCAGTTGCTTTAATTTAATAATGACACGTGAACCTATTTAGCCTTACAATAACTTTTCCAACATTTACAAAGATGTGAGCAGACCTAGTTCACATATTTTACCTCCCACTCACTTATGCTTCTTTATTAAGGCCCTATCTCTCTTTCAAATAATTGTTTGTTACTTCCTTCTGCATTCAGAAACCTTTAAGTAAGTAACTTATGGTGGCAATTTTTCATAAAGAGGATTTGATGCCCATGTGATTAAAAGGCAAAACAAGCACACACAAAAAGTCATTACTATCATGTATATGTCACATACACTGTCCCTGCCCTTCCTTTTACCTTTAAGGCAGAAAAAGGTGGACTCACCTCCTTTTTTGGGACTTCTGGCTTCTTTTCTTCTTCAAGGCATGTGCATGGGGATGGAAAAAGAAATGTTGGGAAAGGGTTTGCTCAGCAAAGAGCAGGACGAAGCACTGAATAAAATGCTGAGAAAAGGTGGGCAAGAGAACACATGGAACGGAAGAAACTACTCTTCACCAACCCTTACAAGGCATCTCAGTTGGAGAACTAGAGCCAGAGGCACTAGCGATCCTGTGATGACAGTACCTTAACCTAACAGGCACTTAGTACCTGCTTATATAACTTAACCCCTCATTTCATGGGAAAAGAAAGAGACTCCCACAAAGGTTACCCGGTGCCATTCAGCTAGTTAGTTGCACATCACATTCTCTGATTCCTCCAATAATTCCTCTTCTATAAGAAGGTACTGCCGAAACCGGTTTGGCTCAGTGGTGGAGCGTCGGTCTGCGGACTGAAGGTTCGATTCCGGTCAAGGGCATGTACCTGGGTTGCGGGCACATCCCCAGTGGGGGGTGTGCAAGAGGCAGCTGGTCAGTGTTTCTCTCTCATTGACATTTCTAGCTATCTCTCTCCCTTCCTCTCTGTAAAAAATATATTAAAAAAAAAAAAAAGAAGGTACTGTGATGACTTTTTCTGTTTGTAATTTTGTCACTCGGTTCAGAGTAGGTATGAAATATGGAGCTCATTAAATAACTGTGTTATTTGAAGGGCTGGTAGCACTTACTAGGTCTCTTTATGAGTAAGGGTTTTGGAGTCAGACTTAAATCTCATCTTTACCTGTTAGCACGTGGGCAAGCTTCTCATTCTTTCTAAGTGAAGCTCTCACAGCTCAATAAACAGGGATAATAATAGCTTCCACATAGTGTTGTTGTAACAAATGAAACAAGATTATTTGAAAGTCTTTAGTGTGGTGTGTTGCACAAGTCATAGGCTTCAGTAAATATTTGTGTAACGAATAAGGGGTAACTATGACTGTATTTAAACTTCTTCAGAGAGAGACAACATTCTTTGCCCTTCAGGTGTGGGTACAGATATGTATTCTTATTGCCTTAGTTAACTGCTGTTTGGCTACTGTCTTGTCTAGAAAATGACTGTTTCACCTACCTCACAGCCTTTTAATTTGTTTAATTCCAGACTAATCCATGGAGGACAGCTTTTAAATGGATTGGCAGGCCCAACCGTAATGAATGCAGCTCCGTTCCTGTCTACAACGTGGTTTTCTGCAGACGAGCGGGCCACTGCCACGGCTATCGCGTCCATGCTCAGTTACCTCGGCGGAGCATGTGCATTTTTAGTCGGACCACTTCTTGTTCCAGCTCCCAATGGCACGTCGCCTCTTCTTGCATCCGAGAATAGCAGGGCCCACATTAAAGACCGCATAGAGACCGTGTTATATGCAGGTATTTTAACATTTATTTTCTTCCTGTTATACTCTTGTCCTTTATCCCAGTCATCTTCACTCTGCTTTTGTATACCAGATCACTTATGAAATACTTAAGAGGGCTAATATATACATATGCATATATGTGCTTTCTTTTGTTATGTAATATTAGACATTCGTGCACTACGGATCCTTCAGCCTGGCCTATGCCCTCTCGAAGTCCAGGACCCCTCGGGGGATGTCTGCCTGCTGGCTTAGGAGCACTGCCTGGGAGGCGGGAGAGGTTCCCGCCACCACTGCTGCGCTCGCCAGCCATGACCCCGGCTTCAGGCTGAGCAGAGCTCCCCCTATGGGAGCACACTGACCACCAGGGGACAGCTCCTGCGTTGAGTGTCTGCCCCCTGGTGGTCAGTATGCATCATAGTGACAGGTCATTCCATGGTTTGGTCGATTTGCATATTAGAGTTTTATTATATAGGATGGAGAGGCCTATCTGAAACTTACCCTTTCTAACAAGTTAAGTTTCAAATGTATTCTTGCTACATGGAAGGTTATTTCTTACTTTTCCCACCCGCTTACAATTAAGCTCAGCGTAAAATTTCAAATCTCTTTTCTACATATCTTATCTACCTAATAAAAGAGTAACATGCTAATTGATTGTACCTTTGTGACACCCACCAGCCAATCAGGAGTGAGTATGCAAATTAACCCAACAAAGATGTCAGGCACCAAGTGGCCAGTGGTGGTACGCAGGCATTCTGTATCACCCAGCCACTCTGGGCCTCTGAGCAGTGTGGGAAGGCAGAAAGATGGCTCTGGGCCAGAGTGGACAGGCTGCTCTGGCCAGAGTGAAGGCAGTGCTGGCAGCCAGGAGAAGGAAGGCCCATTCTTGCACAAATCTTCGTGCATTCTGCCTCTAGTCCTATATAATAAAAGGCTAATACCCAAATCGACTGAACAGCAGAATGACTGGTCGCTATGATGCGCACTGGCCACCAGGGGGCAGATGTTCAATGCAGGAGCTGCCCCCTGGTGGTCAGTGTGCTCCCTCAGGGGGCGTGCCACTCAGCCAGAAGCCAGGCTGGCAGAGAGTTAGCCAAGTATAATGGGTAGGAGGAAGAATATAACAGAGAGAGATCCATGGAGGAGAAGCCCAGTAAGGGGAGAAAGTGTACTACCTTCAAGCAATTTAAAGCCCAGAGTGGCTTAGGTGTGGTGAGAGTAGATTAGGTAAGCCGGGCCCTGTAAGCCTTCTAAATAGGACTAAAGGTTTGAAATTCACCACATTTTCTGTAGTGGCCATACTCTGAAGAATTTATGCTAGAGAATTGCTGGTGAGATTTACATTTCAAAATATGGTTTGAAGGGAATACAAGTGAAAACAGAAATAGGGGCAGCATATAGAGCATATAACCCACCTTACTCCTACTAACGGGAAAAAATTGAAATGTAAAAATTAAATAAGTAGATAAATAAAACACAAAGCAGGGGAAACAACTTTTAAACCCTATTTCAGTTATATCATTCTTTTTATTGAAAATGTAAGCAATGATTATATCTTCAAGGGATTTGATTTTAGACATTTTTGTGTATAGCAGATAACCTACTCAAAACTTCCCAGTTATTTCTTCATTGCTTTTATATTTACCAACCTGCCTTCCTAAAATATTATCCCAAAACCCTCATTCCATTTAAAAACATTTGCTAGAATTGCTACCCTAAAACATTAATGATTCTTACACGGAATTATTCCAAACACATCATAAGGGAAATATAGACTAATAGATCAATATCTCTTAGGTATATAGAGCCACATTCCTGAAAAAAATACTAGCAAACCAAATCCAGCAACATATACAAAGGATTATATGCCATGACTAAATAGGATTCATTTCTGGAATGCATGGTTGTTTGAACATTTAAAACTCAACTAATGTAATATGTCATATCAGTAGAATAAAGAAGAAAAACCATGCAATCATCTTAAAAGATGGAGGGGGAAAGCATTTGACAAATCCAACACCTTTCAAGATAAAAACACTCAACAAATCAGAAAGAGATATAGGAGCTCTCTCACCCTAATAAAGGGCATGTATGAAAAACCCACAAATAAGATCACAGTTATTGGTCAAAGACTGAATGTATTCCCCCTGAGATCAGGAATAAGACAAGGATGTCTAGTTTTGCAATGTCTATAAAGGACATATATGAAAAATCCACAGATAAGATCATAGTTATTGGTCAAAGACTGAATGCATTTACCTAGAGATCAGGAACAAGATAAGTATGTAAACTCTTGCTATGTCTGCTTAACATTGTGTTGGAGGTTCTAACCAGGATCACTGAGAAAATAAAATAAAAGGCATTTTAGATCAGAAAGGAAAAAGCAAAGCTATCTCTTTTGAAAATGGTATGATCTTGAATATAAAAAATCCCCTGTAATCCATTAAAAACATGTTAGATCTAAAAAACAAGTTCAGTAAGAATAAACAAGTTTATTCTAAAAAAAAGTTTTAGGATGCCAGATTAATATATAAAGATCAATTGTATTTCTGTACACTAGCAATGAATAATCCAAATATGAAATTAGGAAAACAATGTAATTTACAATAGCCTCAAAAAGAATAAAATATTTATGAATAAGTTTAACAAAATAAGGTAAAACTTGTACTCTAAAAGACTACAAAACACTGTTGGGAAAAATGAAAGAAGACCTAAAGAAATGGAAAGAGATCCCATGTGAAAACTTAGTGTTGTGAAGATGCTAATATCCCCAAATTTATTTACAAATTCAGTGCAAGCCCAAATAATACTTGGCTGCCTTTGCTGCAGAAACTGACAAGCTGATTCTAAAGTTTATATGGAAATTCAAGGGACCTAGAATAGCCAAAACAATCTTGAAAAAGAACAAAGTTGGAGAACTCACACTTCCCAGTTTCAAAAGTTACTACAAAGTTATGCCAATCAAAACAGAATTGTACTGGCATAAGGATAAACATATAAGTCAATGGAACGGAAGTGAGATTACAAAAAATAGACTATTGCATATGTGCAATTGACTTTTCAGAAGAGTGCGAAAACAATTCAATGGGGGAAAAAGTCTTTTCAACGAACAGTACTGGAATAACTGGATATCCACATGCAAAAGAATCCATTTGATCCCCTTCCTTACACCCCTACACAAATGAACTCAAAATTGATTGTGGACTTAAATGTGAGAGCTAAAACAATTAACTTATATAAGACGAGATAGGAGTAAATCTTCATGTGCTTGGGTTAGTCAAAGCCTTTTTATAAAGAACACCAAAAGCACAAATGACAATAGAAAAAAAATATGTAAATTTGATTTCATCAAAGTTAAAACTTTTGTGCTTCAAAGGACACCATCTAAAAACTGAGAAGACAATCCATAGAATGAAAGAAAATAGTTGCAAATTATGTATCTGATAAGGAACTTTTAACCAGAATATATTTTTTAAAACTTATAATTCAACAACAGAAAGATAAACAACCCAATTAAAAATGGGCAAAGGACTGAATAGACATTTCTCTAAAGAAAATATAAAAATGGCCAACAATGTTTCTCTCTCATCGATGTTTCTAGCTCTCTATCCATCACCCTTCCTCTCTGTAAAAAAAAATCAATAAAATATATTTAAAAAAAAAAAAAAAAAAAAAAAAGCCAAAACCGGTTTGGCTCAGTGGATAGAGCATCAGTCTGTGGACTGAAAGGTCCCAGGTTCGATTCCGGTCAAGGAATGTACATTGGTTTTGGGCACATCCCCAGTAGGGGGTGTGCAAGAGGCAGCTGGTCGATGTTTCTCTCTCATCGATGTTCCCTCACCCTTCCTCTCTATAAAAAAAAAAAATCAATAAAATATATTTAAAAATGGCCAACAAGCACTTGAAAAATACACTCACTGTCATTAGTCATTAGGGAAATGCAAATGAAAGCCATAAACCATAATAAAGATAAACTTCAATAGGGTGACTATAATCAATCAAATTGAAAATAAGTGTTGGTGAGAAAGTGGAGAAATGATACATTGGAACCCTTATTCATTTCTAGTAGAAATATAAAATGCCACTTTGGAAACATTTTGGCAATTCCTCAAAATGTTAAACAGAAATTGTCATATGACCCAGCAATTTCATTTCTACGTATATACCCAAGTGAGATGAAAACACATCTGTGCAAGAAATTGTACATGAATGTTCATAATAGTGGTATTCATTACTAGAGGCCCAGTGCACAAAATTCGTGCATGGGAGGGGGTCCCCTCAGCCCAGCCTCTCTAATCTGGGACCTCTCAGGGGGTGTCCGACTGCCAGTTTAGGCCAGATACCACAACATCCCTCTCACAATCTGGTACTGCTGGCTCCCCACTGCTCACCTGCCTGTCTGCCTGATTGCCTCTGCCTGCCAGCCTTATTACCGCTTAACCACTCCCCTGCTAGCCTGATTGACACCTAACTGCTCCCTTGCCAGTCCGACTGCCCCCAACTGTTCTCCCCTGCAGGTCCAGTTGCCCCCAACTGCCCTCCCCTACTGGCCTGGTCACCCCTAACTGCCCTCTCTTGTTGGCCTGACTGCCCACAACTGCTCTCCCCTGCTGGCATCTTGTGGTGGCCATCTTGTGATGGTCAATTTGCATATTACCTCTTTATTATATAGGATAACCTAAATGTAGAAATAGTCCAAAATTTCTGTCAATTTCGTGGAATAAGAATGTGGTATATCTTTGCAGTATTTTTATTTTACTTGGCAAAAAAAATAAATAAATAAAGTACTGATATATGCTCCGACATGGATGAACCTTGAAAACATGCGAGTGAAAGAAGCCAGTCACAAAAAAAAACACCAAATTATATGATTTCGTTTATAAAAAAATCTCCATAATAGTCTCTGAAATAGACTCTGAAAGCAGATTAATGGTAACGTAGGCCTGGGATATTTATGCAGATAATGAATACAGAATTTCCTTTTTTGGGATGATGAAAAAGTTCTAAAATTAATTAAGGTGATGGTTGCACAATTGTGAATACACTAAAAACCATTTAATTATGCACTTTAAAAGAGTGAATTTTTAATTATGCACTTTAAAAGAGTGCTAACAATTGTATATTATGGGAATTATATAATTTCAAATCAAGCTGTTTACAAAAAATGCCAGTTGAAGTATGGGCAAAGAATATGAACAAGGCCACCACAGTAGAAGAAATACACGTGGCCAATAAGCATATAGAAGACTAGAGGTCCGATGCACGAAATTGGTGCAAGAGTATGTTTTCACAGCCACCGCGGCTGCCTGGTCCCCTCCCTCGCAGCCGTGGCATGGCAGTGGCCTGGATCCTCCATCCCACAGCTGCAGAAGGATGTCCACTTTAATTAGCATCTTATGCTTTCATTATTATAGATGCTCGTTCATTGTTACTAATAAATAAAAGAACTGTAAATTCAAACAGTTCATTAACTTTAGTTGCTTCTCAGATTGACATAGAATAAAAATATCTGTGGTTAAGTGTCATAAGAATGTTGTATTTTTTACTAAGAATATAGTCCTAGAATTAGAATTATCCTACTAAAAGGTCCTCTAGAAATCACTTAACCCAAACCCTTTATTGGCCCAGAAAGAGGAAGTGATTCATTCAGATTCCAAGTTAATTATTAATAATAGTATAGACAGGTATATACTTTAAGGCTTCTAGATTTTTTCTACTAAATTAAGCACTGCTAACAAAAGGTGGGACTTCTAGGAAACAGATCTCTGGAGGGAATATTCGGGATACCTAGGAACCTTCCCTCCTGTGATAATGCCAAACTAAGATTGCTGTGATATTCATTTTAATTCCGATTGTTTAATATTCTGCAGTAGCTAGTCTTGTGTTTATAAATTTTACTTTCTGTCTCTTAATTTCTTATTTTGTATGTTTTCCTGTTCTGTTCAAATTTCCAATATAGCCGGTAAATTCAGTCTGTCCTATATTAGAATATCATATTATTCACCAAACAAACCTCCTGATCCCTTCCTACATATTTTCTCATACTTATTTTTTATTTATGAAGACCATGTTTATTAGACAACCATCCCAGACCTGTTTCTAAATCTCTTACAGTTCAGTACTGTGTTTTGTTTTTTTTTTCATTGTATCTATATTTTTATATGAAATATTCAAACAAGGCAAAGCCACAGGGATGGAAAATAGATAAGCAGTTTCCACAAGCTGGGGAGGATGAGGGTGGAGAAGAGTCACTGCTAATGGGAAAGGTGGTATTTTGGGGGAGATGAGGAAAACTTTTGCTGTTGTTGGTGGTGACACAGATGTTCCCCCTTCCTCCCGCTTGGCCCCCCTCCACCCAGTCCCCGGGCTCCCTTTTCTCCACAGACCAACCTTTGCTTACTGCCTCAATCTTTTTGTCTGTATACTGCACCATAGTACCACCTTACTTCATTGCTTACTATAGGACTTCTTACCTGTGGCCTGCTGAAATGTGTATCTTGACATATGATGTTTCTCACACGGCTGAACTATTTTGGTTAGGTACTATATTTCACCTATTTTCATATGCCTAGTGCTTAGTTGATGCTTAGTAAATAATTGTTAGATAAATAATACTTGAAATGTTGAACTGTTTGTGTCATCTGGTTAACATCTCACTTTGTTTTTCTTTTTTTTTTTCAGAATTTGGAGTGGTCTGCTTAATATTTTCTGCAACTCTCGCTTATTTCCCACCCCGGCCTCCCCTTCCTCCCAGTGTTGCTGCAGCTAGCCAGCGACTGAGTTATCGGCGGAGCTTTTGTAGATTATTAAGGTAAATGTACTTAGAATTACTGAGTGGTTTGATAGCACCTTTAAAAATAATTCCACATTTACTTAAGATCATTTAAAATAATTTTCAGCAATCTATTAATCAGTTTGTAAATAATTGATTTAAAAAAATAGATTAAATACTTTAATGGAACTTCCTATCAGAAATCTATCTTAAAAAGTTGCCCAAAAGCCGAAGCCGGTTTGGCTCAGTGGTAGAGCGTCGGTCTGCGGACTGAAGGGTCCTGGGTTCAATTCCAGTCAAGGGCATGTACGTTGGCTGCAGGCACATCCCCTGTAGGGGATGTGCAAGAGGCGGCTGGTTGATGTTTCTCTCTCATCGACATTTCTGGCTCTCTATCTCTCTGATTTCCTCTCTAAAAAAATCAATAAAATATATTAAAAAAAAAAAAAAAAAAAGTTGCCCAAAACAAAAATCTCCATAATTTTTCCCTTCTCTGTTTTTATTGTTATTTATTTAACATTTAAAAAATTAAATCTTTCATTTAAATAATTTCTTTTATAAGGGGCCATATTACATAATAGTATCTGTGAAATCATGGGCTTTATGTGTTTGTTATATTTTTCCTATTAGGTAAATTCTTTTTATTCATTTCATATTTCTCTTTTTTTTTAAAATATATTTTTATTGATTTCAGAGAGAAAGGGAGGAGAGAGAGATAGAAATAGCAACCTGGCAATGGGTCCTGACCAGGAATGGAATCATGACCTCCTGGTTCATAGGTTGACACTCAACCACTGAGTCACACTGGTTGGATTGTTTTATATTTCTTAATACACATTAAAATAAAAAATGAATAAAATAAATAGTACTTATTTATATGCCTCTTGTAGGATCATACTTTGAGAAACTTAACATTTTATTTTATTGGAATAATTTAAATTTAATTAGATTAAATTCTGCCCTTGAAGGCTTAAATGCTACGGTACTGAACTCGATTCTTTGGTTATATAGATCATCACTGGTGATTATGATTTGCATTTGGGCCATTAGAACTTATCTTTGGAATTTCCCCCCCAGTTTGTTATAGTAAGTTTATAGTGATTCATCAGCAACTCTCTCTGGTTGGTTCTTTCTTTTCTAGTCCTCCTCTCCCACCAGATGGTAAGACCCTGTGGTCAAGAACTATGTTTTTTTGTCCACAGTAATATTACTTAATCCTATATAATAAAAGGATAATATACAAATTGTCCCCTTGAGAGTTTGACCGGCCAGGAGTTCTACCACTCACTGTAACGTGTACTAACCACCAGGAGGCAGCACAGAACAAAGGAAGGCTTTGGCCGGCAACCAGCAGCCAAGGGAAGGAAGGCCCCAGCTAGCCCTGATTGCTGGGCAGGCCTACAGACCCTACCCTCACGAATTTCGTGCGTCGGGCCTCTAGCAGGATTATAATACAAGCGACATAATAGGTAATTTAAAATTTTCTAGTAGCTGCATTTAAAAAGATTAAAATAAATAGGTAAAAATTAATTTTAGTAGCATATTTTATTTAAGCCAGTATATCTAAAATATTGTTTTAATATTAATTCATATTAAAATTTATTAATGAGGTTTTTTATATTCTTTTATTCATACAAAATCTTTGGAATCTGGTGTATATTTTACTTGTAGCATATTTCAATTAAGATGCTAGATTTCATTAGAAATACTTGGTCTGCATTTAAATTTTATTATATTAACAATTGAACAGTGTCTTCCATATTGCACTGTTTTATTTAAAGTTAAAAAATATGTACCTATAATTTTTCAAGCTTAGAATCATTACATCTGTGATATTATCTTAAAGGTCTTATATTTTATAGACAATTGTTGGGCCTTAATTGATGATCTTTTACTTTACTTCAGTGGAAACTTCTTATAAAATTCACTGTGTATTTGTTGAACATATCTCTTAATATTATCCACTTAATTATCTTAAAATTTGTTTTACACAGCAAACATCATTTTGCTCTGCTGCAGCAAGTTGCAATTGCTATTCATTACAAAATTTGTATTTTATTCCAGTCTCATATTTTTCCCCATAAAACATTTAGGTAAGCAAATTACAACGTTATATTAGTATGTAAAAAATATTTAGAATTGAGTTAGTTCACTGACACCAAGAAGGTCAGTGACAGGTTATAATACTAGAAGCAACACATACTACAACATGCACACTACAATATCTTACCCAGTGCAGCAGTTAAAGTGAATTGTAGTTCTACCAAAAAAATAACGTTGCATTTAAAATTTTAAATTAGTTCTTAAGTTGCACTAGCCACATTTCAAGTGTTTAATAGCCACATCTGGCTTGTGACTACCATGCTAGCATAGCTATGTAACATTATTTTTCAATGTTATTTCACAGCCAACTAATGAAAGAAGGTTGACCACTTAAAAAAAAAAAAAAGTAGAATAAAATCCTATCTAATAAAAGAGTACTATGCAAATTGACCATCACACCAAAACAAAAGATGGCTGTCCCATGTGGTCAAAGATGGCTGCCCCTATGTGGACACAAGATGGCTGCCACAAGATGGCCTGCAGGAGAGAGCAGTTGTGGGAAGTTAAGGATTACCAGGACAGCATAAGAGGGCAGTTGGAGGGGGCAAGGCCTGCAGGGGAAGACAGTTGGGGGGGACCCAGGCCTGCAGGGGAGGGCAGTTGGGAGCCAGCAGTCCTGGATTGTGAGAGGGATGTCTCTCAAGGGGTCCCAGATTGGAGAAGGTGCAGGCTGGACACGAATTTTGTCCACCAGGTCTCTAGTAGAATAATATTATTGCATCATTTATAGTAATGATAGTACTAAATATAGTACATATCTTTTGTGAGAGTTTCAATCTACCTATATGAACATATTACATGGGTAGGTCACAAAGTAAAGATATGTTTCTTACTCTGGAGCACTGTAAAAGGTTTTTGAAAACCACATCTCTACAGCACCTCGTACATTGCCTTCCACATAATAGGCAACAATAGAAATATTAGTTAAATTGAATTATTTTCAGTGGCACACATTTATAAGATGAATAGTTAAAATGATAGTTTTTTGGAAATAAAATGCTATTTAAGTTTTTCTTTATGCTAAGCCAGAGATCAGATAGCAATAGATAAGGCTAGAGAGGTAAATTAGGGTCATATTATGCCATATTAGTAATTTTGGACTATCCTGTGGGAAATGAGGGGTCATTAAAGGATTGATTTTAATTAAAGAAGTTATATAAAAGATTGTTCTGACAAGGGAAAACAACTTCAAATTATCATTCTGATTAACCTCTGTTAGCTTCTAATTGCCCCAGAGTCAAGATCTTTATTTTCTGTGTAAACCATAAAGTGTAAGATCTTTTTCTCTATTAAAAAATAATCATTTTCACTAATGCTTACCACTCCTTTGTCTCTCCCATATTCGACTGTTTACTCTGCAGAGTTGCTTGCTTCTACTTTTAGCTCGCCATAGTCAACACACACAGAGCTTCCTCAGGGCAGTTCTTAGAATACAGAATTATGCTGTATTCCCCTAGCCTACCAATGTAATTTACATTTTCTCTGGTCCTTCAAAGAAACCCTGGTTACTTTATTATTCCTGGATTCATTGGAATAACTGTGTGTGTGTTTTTCCTAGATTAACTGCATTATCTGGGGTAGGGGGTGAGGAAGCAATGGTTATATGCTGAAGTTTCCACCACAATTATTTTTTACTATTCATACAATTCCCATGTCGTAATATGCATTTAAACTCTATAACCCAATGTAAACATTTCTGTCCCTTTATGTGTTGGTTTAATGTTTGATGACGGTGGTTGTTGTTTTTGCCTTTCAAACTTGAAGAGTGGAGTGTTGAGTTGAACATGTTCTTTACTTCAGGACACATGAACACATTTATTCACTTATTTACTTGTTCATTTATTTATATTTCCCACTTTCATTCCTCTCCCTTCCCTTACCCAGGCCACCTTTTAAATGCATTTAATGTGTATCTGACGGTGTGCTTTTTCTTTTTTTTTCTTGTTTTTAAAAAAATATATATTTTATTGACTTTCTTACAGAGAGGGAGAGTGAGTGATAGTTAGAAACATCAATGAGAGAGAAACATCGATCAGCTGCCTCCTTCACACCCCCTATTGGGGATGTGCCCACAACCTTGACCGGAATCAAACCCTGGACCTTTCAGTCCGCAGGCCGAAGCTCTATCCACTGAGCCAAACGGTTTCGGCTGTGTGCTTTTTCAATACGTGTAATTTTTAAATGCATCTGTGTTTAACTTATCTAAATGATGGTACATTATGTATCTCATTATTTTTTACTATTTTCACTGAACATGGTAAGGTTTGTTTTGTTTTGTTTTTTAAATAATTTCATTTGGGAAATTTATAGAAATATCCAAAGATAGAATAGTTCAACTTTGATATCCCCATAACCCAATATCAGCAGTTGCCTATTTAGCTCATATTGTTTTAGCTCTACTTTACCTACTTCCCCCATTCCTGCATCATGAAGCAAATCCCAGATGACAAGTCATTTCAGCTATAAATATTTCAATATGTGTAATATATGTTAGAAATATAAGGACACTTTAATATAATACAAATATAATATCATTATCACACCTAAAAACTTAAAATAGTTTACTAATATTACATCATTGTTTATATTTCCAATTGTCATAAATGTCATAAAATTTTTTTAACAATTTGTTTGAATCGGGACCCAAATTAGGTTCACATATTGCAGTTAGCTCAAACCCATTATAATCAATAGGTTTCCTTTCCTCTCTCTCTCTCTCTTACCCTTATAATTTATTTGTTGAGGAGCCAACTCTTTTGTCTCCAGGGTCTAGATTTTGGGATTGCTTCTTTATGGTGTAGTTTGCCATGTTTCTCTATTCTTTGTATTTCCTGTAAATTGTAGCAGAGCTATATTCTAACTCAAGTTTTTGTTTTTACTTTTGTTTTACCACACTATTTCATAAATGATGCTTCCTTCTTCCTACAGGAAGAGCAAACGAATAAAATTATGTTATAAATATAAAAATGTAAACTACGTATTATATAAAATGTAAAATTCTATTGCCTATATTACAGTATGGAGATGGATAAATAAATTATGATATATCAACATAATGGAATACTATGCAGCTATGAGAAAGAATGAAGAAGCTCTGTATGTATTAATTATGGAAGAGCTTTAAATGAAAAAGTAAAATTCAGCAAATGGTTGTACTATGCTATCACTTAGGTAAAAAGATTGGGGGGAATATATATATATATTTTTTTTTATCAGCTTGTATGTTTTATATAATTTCTGGGAAGTTACCAAAGAAAGTGGTAACATTGATAATTGTGGGAAGAGGGCAATAGGGATTAGAGGAAGATATTTTCCCCATATTTTTATACCTGTTTGGTTGTGAGCCATTTTAATTGTATTGCCTATTAAATAATTATTTAAAAAATAATAGTAAAACAAATGATAACAATAAAACAAAAATTAAAACTACTCTCTGAAAACGGTAAAACTAACAAATTATATATTTATTTTTAATCTTTTTTCTAACGTGTTCTAGGAGAAAGTATATTTTTTTAACATTTGAATTTTAATTTTTCAATTACAGTTGACATATTAGTTTAAGGTGTACAATATAGTGATTAGACATTTACATAACTTATAAAGTGTTCACCTGATAAGTCTATTACCCACCTAAGCAATAGTAATTTATCCTTTCAAATAGAGCTTTTTCTTAACTGAACCTACCTACGTCATTCTATGAAATAATGTTGGTCATTCATTGATATAATAAACATTGACAATTTTAAACAATATGAACAAAAAATGCTATTCTTATAAAAATGAAACATTTAAAGAACTTTGATTTTATTAACAACTGACAACTATTTTTTATTTCTGATTTGAATGTTAAAATTTTCAAATGACTGTTTTCATGAGTAAGTTTATATTCTAGAGTTTGAATCTGCAATAATATTTTTCACTTCTCTTTCACAGCAACGTGAGATTTTTGATGATTGCTTTAGCATATGCCATACCTCTCGGTGTATTTGCTGGCTGGTCTGGAGTTCTGGACTTAATTTTAACACCAGTGCATGTTAGCCAAGTAAGCATTTTATCTTTATATTTGAAGGTATTTTTAGTTCATTTAAGTAATAATTATTGTCTACATGTTCTTAGTTTTAGCTTCAAGGCCTGGAAAAAACAATAGTATATCATTATTGCAAAAGCAAGGTCCATGTGAAATAGTTAAACAATATTTATTTTCTTCATGGATTTTGTTAAGTCATGAATTTCACATTTATTTGGGTGTTATTAATGATGCTACTAAGCAGAAAAATAAGGAAAATCTTAGTTTTGTTGACTCTATCCTTTATATTCTTGCTTTATGCTTTATGAATATTAAGATCCCATTCTCAAATATATGGCTATTCCTATACCTAATTTCTCACTTTCTCTCTAGTCTCAGGATAAGGATATCTCATTTATTTAAAAGTAGCCATTTCACCCTAACTGGTTTGGCTCAGTGGATAGAGTATCTGACTGCATACTGAAGGGTCCCAAGTTCGATTCTGGTCAAGGGCATGTACCTTGGTTGCGCGCACATGCCCAGCAGGAGGTGTGCAAGAAGCAGTTGATCAGTGTTTCTCTCTCATTGATGTTTCTAACTCTTCTCTCCCTCTCCCTTCCCTCTGTAAAAAAAAATCAATATAATATATTTTTAAAAATAAATAAATAAAAGTAGCCATTTCACTGGTGGTGTGGGGTCCTTAGCAAGTGAGAAATGCACTGCACATGTAAGGGGTTAAGCCACCAGAGGTTTAACAGAGAGACTGTTACAGGGCCGAAAGCAGAACAAGAAGAGTAGAGGGCAAGCAATGCTGGGCTCTCAGAGTTCGGGCCCTGCCGTAGTGGAAAGGCCTCATTAACATCTTGGGCTTCTGCTGAGGCACCAGAAAGGCCAAACTTTAGAATGTAGATACACTTCTTGAGATTGAGTAAGACCTAGCCTACTTAAACCCAGAAACAAAGCCTAAAACCAAGCCCCAACAAAAATCCACAGAGGACACAGTTGAGCCCTATCAAGTGAGAGGGGGCTTGGGAAACACCTTGGTTTCTACTCCTCTGCTATCGTAAAGCACAAAATCAAGCCTATCCTAGTGCAAGGTGATCCTTTAGTAATTGAACTATCTGCTAACATAAAAATCAGCCATTTTAAAGCAAGATGAAAGAGTCTGGTATCTTTATATTTATTTTCCATGACCTATACTATACAATTAAAAAAAAAAAAAAAGAAACCACACCAAAACATTAGGCATACAAAGAATCATGAAAATGTGACCCATATTTTAAAAAGAAAAGTAAAAAGGAAAGTAGTCAGTAGAAACCAACTTGGAAATAGTCTATAGATGTTGGATGTAGCTGACAGAGACTGTAATGTAAAAGAGAGAAATCTTTGCTCCATGTTCATAAACCTATTCCCCCTGTTAATCTTTTTTAAAAAAAAATATATATTTTATTGATTTTTTTACAGAGAGAAAGGGAGAAGGGATAGAGAACTAGAAACATCGATGAGAGAGAAACATCGACCAGCTGCCTCCTGCACACCCCCTACTGGGGATGTGCCCGCAACCAATGTACATGCCCTTGACCGGAATCGAACCTGGGACCTTTCAGTCTGCAGACTGACACTCTATGCACTGAGCCAAACCGGTTTCGGTCTTCCTGTTAATCTTGTAGAACTGAAAGTATAGAAGCCACTAGCAACATATGCCTGTTTAATTTAAATCCGTTGAATTGAAATAAAAAATTCACTTCTTCAGTGACACTTTTCAAGTGCTTAATAGCCACTTTTAACTTGTGGCTACCATATTGAACAGTGCAGATATATTACATTTTCGTCGTCATGGAAAGTTCTATTGAACAGTGCTGTTCTAAGTTTTATTGTTATGCCTGTTATATTTACACCTAGAATGGAATTTTGTGCTTCTTTTAGTTAGGAGTTTACTTCCCCCAATATAAATAAATACCCATTAACCTAATTCAGTCTTTGAAAACATCATGCTTTTCCATTGCTCTCCAGTGCCATCTTTGTCATAATTAAGTGCCCTCGTGCACATGAATGTGTTTCTAAATTACTTTCCCCTCTATCCTTGATGCCATCCATTCCTTCCTCTTGTGTCATCTTTAGTCTAATTGTGTCAACCTCTAGTCTATTTGTCTGTCTGTGAGCCAATACCAAATTGTCTTAAGTATTCTAATGTTACAAGTTTTGGTATCTGGTAGAATAATACTCTTTTTTATTCAGATTTTGATGAAATATTTTCTGAATCAATAGATCAACTTGAGAATTAACTTCTTTATAATACTGAGTCTTCCAAGCCATGGTCATTGTATTTCTCTTCATTTATTTAGGCCCTAATGTCGCTGAATGATACTTTATAAATTTCTGCAAAGAAACCATTTGTATATTTGTTACATATATTCTCCAGTATTTGATATTTTTTGAAGCTATTGTAATTGGTATTTTAAAATTACCAGTTCAATTCCCGGTTACAGAACATACCGGGGTTGTGGGCTTCATCACCAGTGTGGGAGTGAAGGAGGCAGCCTATCAATGATTCTCTCTCAACCACTGAGCCATGCTGGCTGGGCTATGCTAAATTTTTTCTAGTTTAACCTTTAGGAACTCTTAACTATATATGTTATACCTTCATATTGTATTCCCTAAGTCTCTTACTTTCGATTCTGAGTTTTTCATTCTTTTGTATTTCTTTGCTTCAGACTGGATATTTTATCCAGCCTTTTTTCCGAATCCAATTTTAATTTTCAGTCTAATATGCTATTAAACCTATTAATGAGTTACCCATTTCAATTATACTTTTAAGTTATAAAAAAATTTTGGTACTTTTTCTTAGTTTCCAAATTTCTATAAAATGCTTGAGCTTGTCTTTTATTTTTTTAACTTTTAAAAATAGTTATTTCAAGTCTGTATGTCATAATTCCCTTTTTTGGATCTCCTGTGGGTATTTTTATATTTGTGGTATTCATGGATGTTTTCTAATCTCCTTATGTGTTCTATTATTTCTGACTGAGTGCTAGACATAGTAGCACTATGAAAAGTTGTAGGGATAATTTAAGCTCCAAGATGATGTTATTTTTGTCCAAAAAGAACTTATGTTTTTCTTGCAGGAGTCTAGGGATCATTTAATTTAGTTCCAGAAATAGGGATTATTTATAGCTGGGCTTCCATCCCTCAGAGTATAGTCTCCAGGTCACAGTACTCTTAAGTATAGTCCTTTAGAGCCTGGGATTTTTTTTTTATTTTTTTTTTTACAAGGCCCCTCATCCCACAGTAAGCCTCAAACTCATTTTCCCCCCTTGTGTCAGTGAGGCTGTTGATAACTTCTCAGCCCCTTAGCTGTTTTTTCTAAAATCAGCAGACGCCCCACCCCTAAGGGGAAAGAGTCCCCAACTACCAGGTTTATCTCTCTGGGTTCCCTTCACATTCTACATAATGTTTCCATAATTATGTATTACCTTTCTGGCTCTCTGATACCATCAGATAGATTTCCAAGTTCTCAATCAGAATATTAATCCAGATTACTTAGTATACTTCCACAATAAGAACTAAGCCTTCCGCTGAAACTGGTTTGGCTCAGTGGATAGAGCGTCGGTCTGTGGACTGGAAGGTTCCAGGTTCGATTCTGGTCAAGGGCAGTTGGTCGATGTTTCTCTCTCATCGACGTTTCTAGCTCTCTATTCCTCTCCCTTCCTCTCTGTGGAAAATCAATAAAATATATTTAAAAAAAAAGAAAAAAAAAAGAAGAAGAACTAATCCTTTCTTAATTTCCTAACCTATTTTCTGGATGGCAGGTATTTCAAGCATGTTCACTTTCAAAAAGGAAAAGTGCAGCATTCATTTAAATGATTCTGATTCTGCAAATCCTTTTTCACTTTTACCCGCACCAGGTGATATTTCTCCATTGAGTTTTAGAGAGAGTGGAAGTGTGGGGTAGAGACAGAGAAACTTCATTGTGAGAGAGACACATGGATTGGTTGCCTCCTGCATACACCCCAACTGGGCGGGCAGGGTGGGTGCCCTTGACCGGGAATTGAAGCTGCGACCCTTCAGTCCAGGGCTGACACTCTAAACTTTGAGCCAAACAGGCAAGGACTGATTTTGTAAGATTTTATGCTTCATCTTATAAATCCTTCCAAGTATCTGCCTCTGTACAAACTCTGAGAGGTTTAGACACCATAAATCGCACCAGGTATTAAGTAAAGTGAAATTTAAAATTAAATGAAAGCAACAGATCAAAACAAAGAAAATATTTTAATTATTGTGTAGAATGTTATTAACTAAAGCAATTGTCATAAGCAAAGGAAGCAGAAAAGCACAAAAGCCTGTCAGGACCAGGGTCAGTATGGTCAGAAGCATGGTGCTTCTTGCCCTGGTGCAGGACCCCCCTCGCCTCAGGGACAGATGGAAATGTTAGCGGGAGCCTGATAGCATTATGTGGGCCTTAGATGATGGATGAGAGGGGCAGTTCTGCAGAACGGAGAATTCTCTTGCTCCAAAACCCAATCGTATAAAGAAAAAGAAAAAAAAAAAAAAAGTAGAGATAATTTAAGCTTCAGGGTGTTCTCTTTTTTCCAGAGAGTGTTTATCTTTGCTCTGGCACCAAACACTGGTACAACAAAGGACTTGTGTAAAGTATTGTATTACTTGGAGAAGAATCCCAAAATTCTGAGACTTAAGAAGAAATCCACTTGTCACTCACATAGCAATCTAGGACAGCTGGCCTGGTAATGTGGGATAGTTGTTCACCGTTGGGACAGGTCTTTTCCTCACTCGTATTTAGACACCTGGGTTGCTTCCACTTTGCAGCTCTTCTGTCTCCTTGGACCTTGTCTTTATAGGCATGGGTGAAGCTGGGTGACCACATCTGGATTCCAGCTGGCAGAAGGGAAAGAAAGCATGGAGGAGGCATATAACTGTGTTCCAGGTGCTAGCCCAGAGGTGGCACACCTCAGTTTGGCCACTTCCATTAATGAGAACTTAGTCACGTGATCACATGGAACTGAATGGGGCCTGGGACATGTAATCTAGCCAAATGCCCAGGCAGGAGAACATAATATATTTGAATATTTCTGACACAGTTGTAATAAAAAATGTGACTAGAAAAAAAAATAAAAGGTAGAAGTTAGTTTGGGTGGCTCTCAAATGCCGGTTAGATTTGGGCTTCTCCCAGTAGCCACAAGGAAAGCCAGGAACTGTTTCTGAGAAGCAAAGTGGAATGATCGGGATATTTGTTCTGGCAGTGAGGGAGGAAGAGATTGTGGGGACCATTCCAGTTTTCATTTCAGGAGTCTAGAATGGGAAATAAGATAAGCAAGTGTGGTGGACGCGGGAAGGGGAAAGAGGAGACAGAATGCATCTGTATTGTTAGGGACACAGATTTCAGCGATAACAACAGCTAACATGTACCAAGCATTTTGCATTTATTAGCTTATTTAATTCTAAATAAAAAGTCTTCATTATCCCCATCTACTAGTGAAAAAACTGAAACTTAGAGTGTGAGTTGAGACAGAAGCCAAGTCATAATAAGAGTTTAAGATACAGGCATGATGAGCAAATACAGGCAGCATTTGTAGATTGCTCTGAATAAGTTTGGCCATGAAGGTAGAAAAACGATTAAGACATTAGGTAATGATGACAGCTCTAACTTTTATTGAGCATTTCCACTGTGCCAACCACTGATCTAAGATCTATACATAAATTATCTCATTTGTCTATTTTATAGGTAAGAAAGTATAATAAAATTTTCCCAGGGTCACAAAGCTAGTACATGGCAGGGCCAGAAATGTTTTCTCAAGAGCTGACTGAGCTATACCATTGAAACTCAACTCAAATTCTCTTTCTCTACCCAGTCTCCCTGGGTGCTCAACCCTTAAACCTACATTGTCTCCCCGTTTTGTGTTCGGGGAGAACACATTACATTTTTAGTTGTTGCTAGGTGTTTAGCACTTAATTATTTCCTAGTACTTGCCTGTCTGTTGGCTGTTTTTAAACTTTTTTCCACCAGTGATCATCTTTTGTCCTTTTCCTATTTTCTTAAGAGTTCCTATTATAATGCTAGGCATGTAGAATATATTTTAAAAATATTTGTTGTGACATTGATTATATGATGTGACACTGATAAGTTAATCGAGGACATATTTACTGAGATACATTTGTATTACTTAGTCACACACAAATCCTTTCATGTGATTCGTATTCTTAAATGGCATTTCCTAGATTTGTTGTCATTTAGCTATTAATATTGATTTTAGGATTTTTTTAGAGGATTTAAATAGAGGATTTTTTTTTCAAGCCTTCTAAATTGCAACATGATGGTCTTATGATTAATGTATTTGTCATTTTCTTAACAGGTAGATGCTGGCTGGATTGGATTTTGGTCCATAGTTGGGGGCTGTGTTGTTGGAATAGCTATGGCAAGGTAAGGTCATTTTATGTTAAACATTTAAGTAGCCAGAAACCAACAAACAAAAAGCCCAAAGGGATAATAATCAGCTCCCCTAAGTAAACATTAAAATTTAAGGAAAAGTAAAATAGGCAAAGGTCTGAGAATGGGGCTACAAGAAAGTCGACATACAGTAGGGAGAATTTTCTGCTAGAAGAAACCTTAAGAGTGGTCCATCCTGAAATGTTTTTGTAGCCTGGCAATGTTTTTCCAGTGTAATTGAACTGCCTCTATGTTAATAGAGAACAACATCTACAAATGGAATCCAAAGGTGATAGTGTAAGAGAGGCAAATGGATAGTTATCAAGAATTGAAAACAATCATTTGTAAGAGCATGTCTAGAACTTTCCATAAAAAGGCACTGTCCTGATTAGCATATATTTACTTCTGGGTTTTTTTGGCATGTATCTTAATGGTTATTCCATTTTGAGTAAAAATGTCCATAAAGACTTCCAGTTTCATTAAACTGCCTATGATCTTAACACATTATGACAGTACATTTTTAGAATGAGTCAGGAGAGAGAAAGCGTTTCATTTATTCTAAAAAAAGGAAAGAATGAAAATGTCACTCATGTATGTGACAGCCTATAAAACTACTCTCGGTTTTTCCAAAGAGATGATATTCATTCACTTCCCAAATAATTTTACCCTATTTAAGTCAGAAACAAGTTAGGCAATCAACTTTACCAGGAAAGGAAGAATTTAATTACATATTTTGGAAGATAAATAAGATGGGTAAATCACCTCAATATCTAAACACTCAAGCATTAATTGACACAGGATAATATTATATCTAAATCTTTGCTTTGTTTGTTAATCCTCACTCAAGGGTGTTTTTCCATTAATTATTAGGGAGAGTGGAAGAGAGAGGGAAAGACAGAGAAAAACATCAATATGAGAGAAGCAGATTGATTGCTTGCTCCATTCATGAACTCTAACCAGGGCCCCGGGGCCGAGGAGGAGCCTGCAACCAAGATTCATGCCCTTGACCAGAATTGAACCTGGGACCCTTTGGTTCACAGGCTGGCGGTCTATTCACTGAGCCAAACCAGCTAGGAGATTTAATTAGAATAATTAGGTATGATTTTTGTCAAATGTGATAGGTCAATGCATTTCAGTATCAATGTAATGATTTGCTACAAATTTTAGATTTTATTCTTATATTTTCTTAAATTATAAAAACCTCATAAAGTGATTTATAAATTAGTGTTAAATTATTCTTAAAGTTTGCAAAGTGTTTCTTGGACAATGAAAGAATAATTTAACACTAATTTATAAATCACTTTATGAGGTTTTTATAATTTAAGAAAATATAAGAATAAAATCTAAAATTTGTAGCAAATCATTACATTGATATTGAAATGTATTGACCTATCACATTTGACAAAAATCATACCTAATTATTCTAATTAAATCTCCTAGCCAATTAGAGTAATTGATTATAGGTAAGAAAAAAATCATATCTAATTATTCTAATTAAATCTCCTATCCATCATTTACTCAATTCTATTCTGAGCACCAAATAGGTTAGAGGGAACCATTATACATATATCAGAAATGACATCTCATATTCTCCTTTCTCTTTATTTTCTTTCCATAAACTTTTCATTTTAACTCTATAGAAATAGAATTAAGGGAAAAATTAGAATGAGAACATGTTTGTTTTTAATATGTTGAAATAGAGGGTCTATAAAGTACTACCCTTACCCTGGGATCTGAAATCAATTATATGTGTCTCCTAGACCTTAAATAAATTTAAAAATTACATTTATAACACCAATTTTTGGGACTCCTAGATTGCAGTCTCCTTATAGACATGAATTCTTTGGATGATTATTTAATAATTATGTTGGCAAAGGCCCCTCCTAAATGTTCTGCTTTGGTCCTAGCAGTATATTTTGATGGTATTATCCCATTTGAAAGGTCTAGGTCTCCAAAGAGCAGATCTCAGTGGTCAGTTTGTTCTTGGGCCATCCGGCCCTGTGAAACTGCCCCCAGTTCAACTTCACTCAGCTCTGGTTGCCCCAGAAAACTCTTCTGTTCTCTCATACCTGGTCAGATAGGCAGGTGGCCAAAAATATAAATAAGAAGCGTACGATTTCTAAATTTTCTTGAGGGACATTTTTATCAAGCTATGGAACCTTTTTTAGAATTTGCAAGATCAAGATTTTTCTGTCTGTGAACTTTCATAGTTGAGAATAAACCTGTCACTGGACAAAGGTGCAGTCATTTTTCCTACCGAAAGATGGCATCAGCTCTCAGAGGAAGTTATTTTAGTCTCGATAATGCTTTCAGACATGATTAACCATATCATGCCAAATAACTGCAATACAAAAGATAGTATTGAAAGTGTTGATAAGATGGACACATAATTACAACAGAAACTAAATTCATTTTTAAAGCTTCAAAGAGAAAACATGGTAAGTGCCATATTTAGTGTGGGATCTGTTTTTCTGCAATGGAAACGATACTGAAGGACAGAGAAAGTTGTATGTTGGCTCAGCCAGAGGATTGTGCCTGTACAATCAACAGTTAGCAGATGAGGAAAAGCAATTAACAAATGGAAAAGGTTCTGGTCATAACTAAATGGCAAGCATCTCTTACCAGATGCCTTTTTGTTTTACATTAACTCAGAAGGAAAAGCAGGGATTTTAAGAACATAAAATGCTAGGAAACAGTAGTCACAAAGTTTAAACAATACTATTCTCTGTTCTAGAGCCATGTTCTTGCTCTCACAAAGCTTACAGTCTGACAGGAAAGACAGAAAACAAAAGCAAAAACAGGAGGAATTACAATAGAGATAAATGCTATGAAGAAAATAAAGAGGTGGCAAGCGGAGGTGTTTTAAAGGAGCCTTATTGAACTGACACCTCGATGACCTGAGGAAGAAGCGGGAGTAGGTCATGTGAAGAATGGGGGTACAGCATTCCAGGCAGACAGGACAGGTCATTGCTGGGGGACACAACATTGCATGTATGAGAAGCAGAAACAGGGCTGTTCAGCTGGAGCATAGTAAAGCAAAGGGAGAGTGGAGGCAGAGGCCAGGTCACATAGGACCACAGAGACTCTAGTGTAAGCGTTAGAATTTGGTCTCTGAGTCTGAATTTTGGGAAAGCCAGCTCTACAAGTTTATGTCAACAAGTTAGCCTGTTTTCTAAAACTAGAACAATATGTACTCATTAAAGGATATTTAGCAATTAAATAAAAAATATAAAGAAAGTAAAAGTGGTATTTAAAAGCTCAGAATCCATCCTGTGAGTTATAGATCCTGAACGGAAATCACCTTTTCTGTGCTTGGTAAGAGAAAAAAATCATTTATCACTAAGTAACATTTATCACTTATGCACACACACACACACACACACACACACACAAAATGTATCAGTTAAAAAATTTAAAACTTGCTTTTAAAAGAATGTGTGGAAATTTCTTTAAGAAATTGCCTATCATATATATATATATATATATATATATGGCTAATATGCAAAGTGTCCCCTCAAGTTCAATTGCTTGCTATGATGAATGCTGACCACCAGGGGACAGCATAGAACAAAGAAAGCCCTGGCCAGCAGCTGGCAACCAGCAGCTGTGGGAAGGAAGGCAGTGATCTGCCCTGATTGCCAGCCAGGCCTAGGGACCCTACCTGTGCACGAATTTCATGCACTAGGCTCCTAGTCCTTAAATAAAAGTGTATCATAGATTTAAACAGTATTTTTTAAATTCAGCTAAAATTAATAGACTGTTGTGTTTTATTTGTTTGTTTTTAGGTTTGCAGATTTTATCAGGGGTATGCTGAAATTAATTCTCCTCCTCCTGTTTTCTGGGGCTACACTATCATCCACATGGTTCACCCTCACCTGTTTGAACAGCATTACACATCTGCCTTTAACCACAGGTAAACACTGACTTTTAAACTTCGAATAAATATTTTTAGTTAATAGGAGTATATATATATTTTGACAGTAGGACTTTTTCTTGCTTTCTGTAAATAATTGTTTAATATACAAAAAGGTCTCCCTTGCCAGCCATCAAACCATTATCCCATTTAAAAAAGCTCAATAAATAACTAAAATGTTTTCACTGGTATTTTACATATGAAAAAGAAGTATTATCTTTAACCCAAGCTGTATAACATGGAAAAGCTGATATGCTTTTATCACTCTTATCAGTGCATAATACAAAGATTTTTATCTTCTTTATAGCCATTACATCATTGTTCAACAGTAAAGAAAATGAACAAAGGCAAAAAGCTATGATGTTTGTAGTACACTCCAGTAAAATCCTTTAAGCCAGCAACTATAATTTATTTTATATATAGTATAATTACATCATCAATACAAAACAAAACTTACTGGAAATATCGACTGGAAGTATATTAGAGGCAGATTACTTAGCTCATCCAATTGACCTGAAACATTTATAGTTGTTGTTTTTATTGGGGTTATTAGTATCATTGGGGTTCTGTGTTAGCTTTCTGTGGTGCTGGAATAAGTTACCACCAAGGTAGTGGCTTAAACCAGCACAAACTTACCTTACATTTCTGTACGTTAGAAGTCCAGTTTGGATCTCCTTAGGCTAAAATGAAAGTGTGGGCTGACTCAGGAAGAATCGTTTCGTTGTCTTTTCTGTCACATTCCTAGGCTTGTGGCTCCCTTCCTCCGTCTTTAAAGCCCAGAACAGCCTGTTACATCCTCCTCACGTTGTATCATCTGTGCCTCTTCCAAAGCCACATCTCCCTCTGAACTCTCATCTTCTGTCTCCCTCTTCCATTTTTAAGGATCCTTGTGATTGCATGGAGGCCATCCAGATAAAACAGGATAGTCTCCCCAGTTTTAAAGTCAGCTGATTAGTAGCCTTAATTCCAAAGATAACATGTTCACAGATTCCAGGGATTAAGACATAAATATATTTGGGGTTAGGATTGGGGGGACATTGTTCTGCTTACCATAGGATCTTTATAAAATTACTATCACAGCCCAGTCAGTGTGGCTCCGTAGTTGAGCTTCAACCTATCACCTTCAAGCAAATGTCACAGTTTGATTCCCAGTAAGGGCACATGCCCAGGTTGCGGGCTCCATCCCTAGTGTGCGTGTGCAAGAGGCAGCTGATTAGTGATTTTCCCTCTTCATTGATGTTTTGATCTCTCCCTTTCCCTTCCTCTCTGAAATTAATTAAAACTTTTTTTTTAATTACTGTGACAAATTATCTTATAAATCAAGGGATTCTGTGCCCTTTTTTTTCTTTTGACTTTAACCAAAGATTAAGATGCATGCACTAGTCCTTCTTATCCATGGGGGATATGTTCCAAGACCTCAGTGAATGTCTGAAAGTCCGGAGAGTACCAAACTCTAAATATACTATGTTTTTTTTCCTGTACATAAGTACCTTTTCACTTAAAGAAAGCTCTTTATGGCTTCTATTTGGCATTATCTAATTGCAGAATCTTTTGTGCTTTTGGACCTTTATTAGGTAAAATAAGGGTTACTAGCACAATCCCTGAGCTACCATGACAGTTGATCTGATAACAGAGACTGCTCAGTGAGTACCGGTAAGGTAGCATATGCATCATATGCATTGTGGATGTGTGGGCAAAGAGATGATTCTTGTCCCAAGCCGGATGGAGTTCAGGAAGGTGACAATGAGAGATTTTATCACCCTACTCAGAAAAGTGTACAATTTAAAACTTACAAATTATTTAATATTTTCAGACTAAGGTTGACCTCGGGTAACTGAAACTGCAGAAGGCAAACCCACAGATAAGGGGGGACTACTATATTTTTTTACTTCATTTGCAATTAATGTTCTGCCACCTGTTGGATTATGTGTTTAATTGTAGGATTATTTGTTTTAAAGGTAGATTGTAGGATTGTAGGGTTATGTGTTATACCAAGCACTTCTATGGGTAGGAGTGAATAGTCTGAAAGTGGCTCTGTAGCCACCTATTACCCAGTGGCATGCATGCTCCCTGGGACTCCGTGAGAGGAGGGCTCCTTGTCTACCGATAATTGAGGAATACCGTGCATCCCTACTTGGACTTATACTGTCCGTAATAAAAGGACCAAGACTTGTCATGTAAGGGGGGGTGGGGCAAATCTTTCCAAGGCACTCATTGATTTGGCAGTTCCTACCACTGTCATGGTAATAATAGGGCACCAGGATACAGCTATCCTATAGCCACGATTACCAAACTGTGCCAAGCAAGCTGCCCTGAGGTGCCACAGCAAGCTGCCCTGAGGTGCCACAGCAAGCTCACAGGGCAACACGGGCTATTTTTAATTTCCAAAGGAAACGGATATTCCACATCTGCCAGACACTGTGCGAGCCTCTAGTTCCAGGCAATTTCCACTTTCGGCATGGATCCTGCTACGTTATTTTTGATGGTGTCTTGGCAAAGTTAGGTTTTCTACGGTTGCTGTACTAAAAAGCAAATACCGCCAAAAATCAGAGTGGAACAGGAAATGAGAGTGGTGGTATCAGTCTGATTCTAAGATTTGAGAAGTTGTACACTGCCCATCAGATGCACACATCCCATTAGTAGGTAACTGTGGTTATTTAAGAATGAAATAAAGACATATTTATTTCAGTATTTGAGTATTATTTTTTAAATAGCTACTAAATTATTAGGACATATATATTCTTTAAATTGTTTGGCTCTAACTGTGTAATTAATACAACTATTAGCTGTTTCTTTTGGCTTTGGAGTGCATGAAAATTTACTGAGACAGAAAGGCTGCTCAGAGGGCAGGTTTGAAACCCCTGCTCTATACCACCCTAGGAACCCTCTGTAATGTCTATCGCTTTGCCTGTAAAGCGGTATTTGGATATTATGTACTTTTTATACATTAAATTCCAACTTTAGGGTTTTGAGCAATTTGGGAAAATATTCTGGGCCATAATTTTATTTTATTCTGGTATAATTTCATAGTTTAGCAGTTGTACAACATTCTGGTGGCACAGTTTTGGTTTATAACTTTTCTTATTCATGGCATTATGCTCAGATTTTTGTGTGATATTGTATGTCAAGTATGCATCTGTTAGATTTTACAAGAACATGGTCATGAGTACCCAACGAACAGATTTCTTTCCCTTGAATTAAGTGTAAAATATTCATTATAAGATAGTACATTCATTAAATTATATGTATTTTCTAATTAACATAAATTAACAGTTTTATCTCTGGATGGAGGCACTACGAATGAATTTAACTTTTTACCTCCTTTTTGGGGGGTCTGGGATTTGTATAATGAACATACTTTTATAATCAGGAAAAAAAAGTATATATTTGAAAACAATACATCTTTTTTAATCTTAAAAGAAAATTGATGTAACTGAACCTGTCATGACTGTTTTCCCAATTTGACCCTGAAAATAATTATGTTGGACAGAAAGGAAAACAGAATTTTAAATTAAATCAAGAACATAATTGAAAGGTTGAGTTTGATGTCGCCATCTTAACAACTACTGAATTTATAAATTCTACTGTTGTTTTCAACTACAAGTCAGTTTTTGAATGTCACTTAGATTCTCTTGAAAGATGCAGTTTCAATATTTTTTATATTTATATTTTATACATACACTGGGTTAAAGACTAGATTTGTTCACATTCCTTCTCTTATTTATAGTATAGTATATTTTTTTCAAAATTCATGCACTGGGGAGAGGTCCCTCAGCCCAGCCTGCTCCCTCTCACATACTGGGAACCCTCAGGATGGCTTAAGCCTGCTCACTTGGGAACAGACCTAACAGTCTGGCCTCCCTTTGCTTGAGGCTACAGGGCTGATCAGGGGAAGGCACCAGTCCCATCACCCCACTGCTGCAGCCACTGCCAGTCACCACAGCTGCCAAGGTATTTTCATCAGCATGGACTCCAGTCCCTTCACCATGAAAAAATGACAACTTCTTTAAGCATTTTCAAGATGTGTCTTTCATAGGATATACATTTCTTTTTCTTTTTAAAAAATATATTTTATTGATTTTTTTTTTATAGAGGAAGGGAGAGGTATAGAGAGTTAGAAACATCAATGAGAGAGAAACATTGATAAACTTTCTCAGTGGGTTATGTAGTGGAGTGATGGTTAATTTGCATATTACTCTATTATTAGGTTAGATTTTTTTTCACTTTCCTGATATCACTTAATAGTTACTTGAGTGTATGTTTTAACTCTTCTAAAAATGTGGAGTATGAACTTGTGCTTTATTAAATTCTGACCCCAACTCCTACCAGAGAACCTCCCACAAGCCCTGAGGAATGAATGAGTGAATGAATGAATGCAATGTATATATTATCTCCATTTTGTATCTCAGTAGATATGACTTATTGCAGGTAGTAATCAGCAATCATGCCTACTCTGTTATTTAGCACTGGCTGTAGGAAGGCAAAGGGGCACATTTTAATGGAACAGTGGAGCATTTAAATAAATCTGTCACAGATATTCTTACTGCCTTTGTAAAAATCTGATCTCATTCCTCTTAAGTAAAAGAGGTTTCACGAAAAGGAACTTACTATAAAACCTAATTATAGACAAAGTTAGACCTTGGAGCTATTTAAAACTCAGTTATGACAAATTCATGTTTCTTTTTTTCTTTTTTACCACAGTCATTCTTTTTTTAATCAGGAAAATATCTAGCCCTATTCCCCATATCTAGCAAACTTAGTATTTCTGTTACTGCTTTTTCTATATCAGAAGAATTTACATGAAAAGCACTTGATAATATATGCATTAATTATAACAGTTGACCTAATAAATTAAAAGCTAGTTAATTTTGTACAACCCATGTGTTGTAAGTGCTACTACTACTGAAACCTTCTAATGCAATCTTTTTGTAATCCACTGATCTTGACATTATTGTGCCATACAAAGAAAACTGGATCATTTCAGTTGTGTGAAGGCATAC